ATTCGGTATCGAATGGTGTCACACAGAAAGACGATCGGCTCAATGTGCTTGAGTTTTGCGTTTGCGATCATTCTTGGATGACAATTGAAACGGTTAGTGATGGCTTGGACTTTAATCGTAGAAGATATTTCCCCCGTATGACGGATCAATCTTTGGAGCTGGTAAATCCGGTTCGAATGAGCGTACAGTGACGATGCTGCGAGGAGATGGAGAGAGGAATAATCCAAATGCACCTGGAGCATGCACGGCACGCGTGTGTGTGGATGATTTTGGGTCAATGTGTGGTCAGTGACCCTATAACTGTTCACATTGGCTTTAACACAGCGCCGTATGAGAACTTGTGGTATTTGATGGAGAACCAGGTTACCAGCCCAGAACTCCCAACGCTCTGACACCCTTCCGCTGATTTCTCGCGACTGCTTATTCATCTGGCCTGCAAATAATACAAGACTTATTGGTAACTATCTCCACAAGGAAGACATTCCCTCATCCGCTACCTGGGGACGCGCTCGTTAGTGTATAGCTCCGCCACAGACCTTGTATTTATTATGCAGACCCCACTGCATATAGTGTCATAAGTTAACTGATGAATGCAATTTGTTAAACTCATCGTTTTATGACAGTTCCACCATGTCCTCTGCGCGGCCTAACGTGAAAATCAGAGGATAGTGTGCGGCGTTATATCACATCTAGTAACTTGGTTCCATCGATCGTTACCGTCCCTGGTAGCTAAATATTCTTCAACACAGACTAGCAACGGTTGGGTTGCGGGTTCTAACCCTACAGGGGCCAGATAGAATGCACACTGCGGAGAATTCCCGAAAGGATGAAACAGCCGGACTGTGCTTTTCAGGGAGTTGATGGCTGCCTGACTGCGTAGATTTGATTAAATCCCGTTGGTTTGTTTATTATACAAACACACCAATCATAGATGAGTGGATGAGTATAACTTTTGCATGACTAAAAAGGCGAATTAATTTTTTGCATTGCTCTTAATGTTTTCCAGCGGGCTACGTGGGATCACGTGTAGGTTGCAGACGTGACCCACTAGGTATCGATTATCAATGTACTATAAAGCGCGGTCGCTTGACAATGATTTATATGTGGTAGTCAAATAAATCTTTTATTCTCAACAAGGTGAGGCACGCCTTTACAGGCATGATCATTTTGACATAACGATGCATGATCAAGAATGTGCAAAAATCCGATATGCTTGCCGTTGCAGTTTGTGTAGGGGGTATGTATGTATGTCATTGTGTGTGTATGTGTATGTAGCTGTGTATTTTGTGCTTGTAGTTGTGCTGCTCCAATCTTCAATGTTTGATATCGTCATCAATATGCGAGTAGGAGATTGATGTCCGTGGTTTGGATAGTATTATCCGGATATCCACGGAGCAATGACTTTATTTTGTGGCGAGTCACAAGCGCCACGTCACAGTGTTGTTAAGCAGATATTTGTGGCTTTTTATAGGGAGTCCGCTTGCCAGGCGAAACCCACCAAGTCCTGGAACACTGCCGCCGAACTATTTGCTGGAACGGGTTAAACCCGAACCACCCAGCTGACACCACGAGGAGGTTGTTAGCCAATGTGGACCTCCGTGAATTGCGGTTCTGATTGTGATTTCGTTTCGCAATTCATTCACATAACGAGTGCTTCAAGAAGACTTACAGTTAATCATTAACCTTTGTGACATGCGTTCCTGCCTCAACTGGGTATCCTTAAATTGGAGGTTTTGACCGACCTCCCAACGTCCCAGGTTCGCGTCGCGTTTCTGCTCTTTCTCTATCTGTTGTGTGCAAACAACCACGGAATCGACCGTGGGTTATGATTGGCCAACACCTTAGGACTAAGCATTTCGCTTTGCACATAGCTTCCTGGAGTGGTAGAGAAGTGACCGAAGACATGTGCTTACCCTTGCTACCCTTTGGTTTCCCATAACTTTGATCTTTGTGTCCAATTTCGGCGTCAACATTTTAGTAATTAAGCCGTAGCCAAGGTATCTCAATGCGTGCATTGTACATTATTTGCTGCTTCATATACATCTATCGAGCTAGAAGTAGTGGTGTATTTTAATTCGGTCCAAAACGATTGCTTCGGAAGTAAAGATCGGTATGAGTGGAACATCATGGACACAAACGTTGTGGCCAAAAAAGTGCGACAGCCTACAATTCAACATTCGATAGACACACTTGCTTTAACACAGTAGACATGAACAATGATTTATGATGGGTAAAAAATACAGGTGCTTGACATGTCCCGTAGGGTGGATAGCGTGACAAAAAGAGATAGCGAAGGGATAATGGAGTCGTCAGTTCGGGCACTTACAGATGTAACTGCGTTTTTGTATAAAGTGTGTATGAAATGAGAATGTACGCACACAAAGCAACAGTGAAGTGGTTATTGTTCACATCATAGGCGAGAAAAAAAACGATAGAAAGGACAACGCTTACTCGTGTGCAATTATCTTCGGTCGACAGGATACAAAAATCCAGTTTGTATAGTAGTAGCGTTTATCAAATTTCGTGCAAGGCGTTTGGAGTGACTCATTCTCGAGTAGGGTCATGGCACTATCCCCTGTCTGTTGTGCATTAGTGCCAGCATCTGGTGGTCATGAGCTATAGCACGTAGTGTAAATGTGACAGGGTATCGTCAAGGCGTTATTTGAAAATGGATAGGGTGGGTGCATCAATTACATGTTCCGGGAGGGCGTTCCAAGGCTGTGCTACTCGAAAGGAATAGTTCGCCGACATTCCAGGCGACTGTACTACGTGACTAAATTAAACAGCTGACCTCTTAGCAAGGTGTTTTGACTGAGTATTAGAAGGGAATGGCATGGGTGGTTGGGGTCTCTCAGGATTAGGTACACCATTACTGGATCGCCCCTTAGCCGCCGATCATGTATATTTTGAGGGTCTTCAGCCTGAGTGGGTAGCGGAGGCTCGTCAAACCTCTGACGCTCTTCGTTGCACTACGTTGTGCAGTATCGAGCGCGGTGAGATGGTGCTTGATCAGGGTTGCCACGCTTGGATAGCGTATTCCGCTTGCGGCCTCACGTAAGCAGTAAGCATTTTTGGAGAGATCGAAGGGTCAAACTTCCCGAAGGAGTAATTTACAGACGGACACTTTGTGGAATCCATGGCCTTCGTGAGATCAATGCGTATTACCAGATTGTAGTGTTAGACATGCTTTTACATTGGTGTTCAGCGCTCAAAAGCCGTTAACGCTATAGATTACCAATAGTGCCTCGAACTGGGGAATGGGCTCATTTTGAAGTAGCTGCTTAACCCATGTTAATCTTTCGGTTGATGGAAGCTAGAACGCCGAATATGAACCGGGCCGTTTGAGCATTAGATGCGATTAGAAATGTTCTTGTCAGACAATATATTTTTATCGTGGGCCGCCATTCATTCATTGCGCTTTGATGTCTAGGTGGGATTAATTTAATATCGTCATTAACAGATGCTACTGAATGGACCATATGGATCATCTATACCATCTTCCTTGTGACCGAAAGATGGGTGGCTCTGCCACCAACTGGTTCAAAGGTTTGATCTCCGCTCAATACTCGCGAATGGATCAATTGATCCCTCGGTAACCAGCTGAAATATGCCATTCAGGCGTGGCAGTCATGGTGAAAGTACATGCCCACTGCACTTCAGACACCCTAATGAAACACAGTAGAGAATCTTTTGAGCTTCTGTCATCACCCATATCAGGTTAACCAGAAAGCCCTGGGAGTGCAATCAGGTTGTACTTATTTGTAAGTAGTAGGGGGCTTTATTGGATATTTTTGTAAAGGGTTTTCACGGTTAGACTCAGGAAGACAGTCACCGCACATCCAGGAAAGCGCTAGACGGCAGTTTGGAACTCGTCAGTAGCGCGCACCCGCCCAATCCTGCCGGATTCGAACCCACGACCTTACATTTGCGAGCCAGTGACTAATGCCACTGAGCCATAGGCGACGGCTGTGCATCGTCATAACTGATATCTAACTGCAATATAGGGCGACTCATCCTCCACTGTCATGCATGTTATGAACATGCAGGGGAGAGGGTTGGCCCCCAGAGCCACGACTTCCTTTGTAAGCTGCCACCAATCGTAGTGGCATGTGAGCTGCTAAAGAATAAATAAATAAATCGCCAGCTGTACGCCGTAACGGCGCCTCGCTGCCACGCGACCATGACGAGTCGCGCGTGAGCTGAGTATACCGTGATGACGCCCACCCCTACGCCGATTCAAGCCAAAAACTTTATGGTTGCAAACCAGGTGCGCAGACCACTCGGCAACCAGCTGACCTGCAAGCTGCTAGGGTGACTATTGCTTATTTGTAAGTAGTAGGGGATTTATTTGGTATTTTTTGAAGATTTGTCGCAGTTAGACGCGGGCAGACAGCCACCACATAGCCAGAAAAGCGCTAGACTGCCTTTACGTCCTATTGGGTCTCATCAGTTGCGCGCACCTGCCGAATACTGCCGGTTTTGAACTTATAGTTATGCTGTGCTATCATAGTGGATCCCGGACTCTAAAGTCAATGGAACGCGATCTTTGAAACACGGTCTCAGCACCAAGTCGTGGGATCTGCAATCGATGCTGTCAACAGACACAAGGAATTTTGTCTCTTTTGGCTTGCTTGTGATAGCTTACTTGTTTGCATTCCGCGGAGTGCGCTATGTCTATTTCTTATCCCACGTGACCAGCACTCGATAAGTGAACGGTAGCCTTTTTATTCGTCTGTATTACATGAGGTATTGTTGTGCATCGCGATGTGTCAAACTGCAAATGGGCGATTTTCCCGTTAAGCTTCGTCATTTATAATGTACCCGGAGCAGTTGCATCACTGTTCATGTAAAACTTCGGATACACAACTTGTTTTTCTGACGAGTTTATCCTTGGTTTGAATAATGTTAGCTCAAGCGCGCAAAGGGGCAGTATACTATACCCAATTTCTTATGGTAAAATCTTATTTTCCTATTGCTCCACTAATAGTCGTTAACTCAAATCACATACTGACCAGTGACTGGACAACGTAATAAATCAAAATCGCCAATTGTAAAGTGTCAGTGAAATATGGGACACCATTAAGCACAAGTATAGAATGACGGTTCCATGTAAAATTGGCGAAATGCCTTTTTGGCTCGCTTTGCAAACTCCATGCCATGCACTCAGAAAGTAGCCTCCGGGTAGATAGAAGCTAAGTGGTCCACCTGGCACATCAGAACACAGCGCAGTTCCAAGTGTTTGCATAAATACCGGCAAATGTGTGCGGATCTCACGTGCCCTAACAATGAATGTCCTCTCCAACACATTTGAGTGTCATCGAATCCGGCCCGACGCACCACCGGCCGTTTTTGCTCGGGCTGGGCGAGTCACACCGACGATGACGTGTTCGTGTCCCAGGGACAGATGCGCACCGCGAGCTGCAGGGACTCCAACTTGCCCACGCAGACCATGATCCGTCTCCTGAAGTACAGCAAAAGGGACTGGGAGTGTATGAAATTGACCAGCCGTACAATTTCAGCTGCAGGTCGAAGAGAGGTAATTTGACAAAATTAGGTGCGCAATTAAATTCAGGATGGATGCTGATGATCACGTTGCCGCGTTGACCAAAACTGATCAACAATTGATTCTGATCTTAAATAGTTTATTTCATTCGGCTCTTTGTGAAGTTTGTTGTTGGGTTTGGGAAAAGATAACAAATCTGTTGCAATAAACTCACACAGCTTTTATTGATTTCAGTGTGGCAAAATGTCGAAAGAAGTCTACGTAACTGTCATGATCCCATGTTCCATATTGTAGACACACCTGGCATTTTGTTTTCAGACCCCTATACCGATCAAAACAGTAGGAGCGCAGCGATTTGTCCAAACATAGAAACCCAGGGATAGGAGATAACAGTGTATCGTTTATGTCCATGTCACTAATGAAACAAAGTTTGATTGGCTTCGTAAACTGCTAATTTTCCACTGTTTGTCTGCTCACCGGTCATGGGTAACTGCCTATTCCAGGTATGTCCCAAGTGTAGCTTGCGGACCAAAGACCGCCCGCATCAACATTTCAATTGGCCCGCGGCCTCATCATGAAACAGTACATTCAAGCTTGCATTACTTTTCCACATACGACATTACTAGACTACAAAATATTAGGGACGTTATAATTACGAAATTCAATGGCGACAGTTGCTGGTGCAGTATGGTTTATTTTTAACCAACTAGGTAAAGTCAAGCTAGTGCTTTTACTAAAGGGGTCTTAACAAAAGCAAAAATAAAGATGGGTTCGTTAACTTTTATCTACTTGATTAGCTAAAGCTAGCTGGTTCTGAGAACGGGGATTTTATTTTTTATGGGTCATCCTAGTCTCCAAAATTTCGTTGTGCCATAATTTACTTCAAGCTACTTCCATAGACACAACTGTTTCACCTTTCTAATTATTTGATTCCACAAAAAACAAAAAATTACTCTACTTTTACAATCCCTATGATAAAGGTTTTAACTATACTGAAGAAATAGAAAGGGATTCGTTAACTTTTTACTTCTACACTTTTCATTCCTGTTCTGGAATGGAAAATGTAACTAAAAAGGAAAGTTAATGACAAAGGGCGCCGCTTCCAGGAAAAGTGAAAACTGGAGTATTTTTCACTGAATGACTGAACAAATGTGTGTGCCTGATTTGTTTGGAGGTTGTGGCCATTTTCAAGGAATTTAATATCACGAGACATTACCAAACGAAGCATGCTATGACAAGTTGACTAAAAATGAACGAGTTGAGAAACTGAAGCAACTGGAAGCTGGAATAACCTCACAGCAAAGCTTGTTTGCAAGAGTCGGTCAGTCAAATGAAAATGAACAATGAACAATGAGTTATCACGGGATAAAAGCAAGTGCTTGACACGTCCAGTTATGAGGTGGCAAAACTAAAAGCGAAACAGTGAAAACCGTTTACTGAAGATGAATTTGTCAACACATGTCTGATGAAAATTATAAGAAATGTCTGTCCTGAGAAAAAGCAACAGTTGGTCAATGTTTGCCTGGTAGACAATGCTGTGGTTGACCGAATCGAGGACTTATTCTCTGATATTCAGAGACAATTAGGAGCAAAAGTTGACTTTTTATATAGCCTGTGATTAAAGCACTGGTACATATGATACCGCGCAGTTTCTCATCTTTTGGTAGAAGTTAACGATGTGACGTGTGTGGATGATAAATTACTTGACCTGCACTGCCTTAAGTACAAAACAAGAGGGATAGATTTGTTTGCTTCTATTTCCTCTGCAGTCATTGACGTTAGACTATAATGGAAAAGTTCACTGGAATTATTACTGACGGTGCCCGGGTCATGAATGGCGAACACAGTGGATTATCAACACGCCTGTATTAAACTCAGCTAAGAGGGTGGTAAGTCCATTAAACTTCACTGTATCATTCGCCAACAAGTTATTTGTGCCAAACATCTTAGATGTTATCATGTTGTGAAGCCAGGGCTAACAGATAGCAACTATCTTCGCTTTAAATTCCTGTTTCATCGTCAGTTTTAGCGGTTTCTACTTGACGTCCCGGATGAGTACGGAGATGTTATGCGTCACAGTGATGTAAAATGACTCAGTCGAGAGATCGCAGTTCATCGCTTCCACTATCTTAGAATGAAAATTGGACGATTCACGAAAAATAAGAGATGATCGATGCCAGAACTAGCTGATGCTGCTTGGCCGGCTGAGGGTAGAGTTTTGCTTGATATTACACGGTACTTGAGCATGTTAAACATGAGTCTTCGGTGTCGAAATGCAGTGGTAAACCAAATGTGTTCACACAGCAAAGCCTTAAGGAATAAGCTGCAATGTTTTCAAAGACAGCAGTCTCAAACGCAGCCTAATATCACATATTTTCTATCACTGCAGGAAAGCATGACAAGCCTTCCAGAAAGTGACATCAATGCACAAATGCAGAAATGTGTCGCGGATATTGTATCCCTGGCTGATGAGTTTCAAAGGCGTTTTCAAGAATTTGCACCCATTAAAAAGGGGATCGGGCTTTTTACTCCGCCCTTCTCAGTGGCCCCTACAATGTTCCATGCCACCTGCCACTGAGGTTCATTGAGTTGCAAAGCGATGTTGAACGTCACAGTCGGCATCAAGCACTGTTATCAAATTTACCAGCAGTTGGATAAAGACAAATTCCAAGAACTTCGAATATTTACTAAGAAAAGGCTCAGCTTGTTTAGCTTGACATACTTGTGTGGGCAGACATTCTCGGTTTTGAATGTTAACAGGAACCTGTGAGGATGAGAATGTCATCCTCACCTACGTGATATCTTGCGTATCAAACCCAGTGCCCTTGAGCCTAACATGACCAGTTTGCTGCAGGCAATCTCTTAGTTACTTCCTTCAAATTAAAACTTACAATCACAAAGTTGCAATATGTCTATTTTGGTAATTAGCTAAACATCGGGATGAATGTGGCCCGAATATTTTTGCCGCACAAAATGTGGCCCTGCTTACTAAAAGTTTGGACACCCCTGGCCTACACGAATTCTGTGGGCCAACTCCAGCACTGATCAGTCAACCTAATATCTCTGGATTGATCCCATGCTGTTTAGTGCGTGTAATGTTCCGGCGGCTCAGGGACATTGATATTTCGTTCATAGCCTTGTATTCTTTGGTTAATTTGGTAGGTGTGATGACTTCCCTTATTGCTGATGAGAATAAATAGTAGCGTCCAGTTTCTTTTCCGGAGCATCTGTGTTCCCATAAGACACTTCTTGGCCGTTTGAAGTATGGGCGAGAAACGGTGACTTCCCATCCCACGCTGCCAGCACTTGTTAGATTCTGCGCGAAGTCAGTCAGCTCTTTTCCGGCGCTTCATATCAGTTAAGTCGACAGCTGTTCTCCGTTGGTACGTCGGATTTGGTTACACCTTAAATGATCGATCCCACAAAGCACTTCGTTTGTCCTCTAAGCAAACACTTGAGAAGAATAATCTAATCGTACCATTTCCCGACAATGGCTAGGATGACATTACTTATCTAGCCGACGAAACTGCTAGACAAAGAGATGAGCAAAGAGCAACTGGCAGGAATCCTGGAGCTGACACAAATGAGTTCGAACAAGAAAACAAGAAGACGTTCACTGCAAGATGGCACCATTCCATGATATCTGATCACTTGCCAATTGAAAGCATTTATAGATCACGCGAGAGAAGAAAACGACCGTTTTGAATTGCTCAGAAAAAAAACACGCAAACGCAATACCACAGATAATTGATCTGTGGCAAAAGCCATGAACACCGAGGAAGTTTTAGGACTACAGTCAGTTGTTTCTGTACACAAAGAGTAAAACGGCACCGATTAAATGTCATTGCCTCGGCAAACTTCGGTCTCTTGGCGATTTCTTTTGTCAGGCAACGGCAAAACTTGAGTCAGGGTCAACTTGGTAATCTGTACCGATTCGGTGTCTAGCGATGGATGACGCCGGCAGTTTGCATGTTATTCCTTATCCGGTTCCTTATTGCGCCGGCATCGTAGCGATTCGCTTCGAAATATGCTCTGCAATGCGTTTAAACAGACAACTATCCTTTTGGCCAGTATAACTGCTTCCGCACCCACAGACGAATTGGCAAATGCAGCGTCATTGAGACGCCCTAGCTAGACGCAGTGAGCATCGTGAGATTAACCCAAAGGTATAACCTTGATTGGTCATTGGTGGAGTCAAGCCACCTAACTCGCCTAAGCGGTTACCGATAACCGATGAACAGATAAACAAAGTAAAATTATCAATATACCAACCTAATCAGAGCAACAACGCTTTCAATTTCTGAGACAATGACACCGTGCCGACAACTGAGTTCGTCAGCTCCTAGTAAAAATACGATTAGTGGCCGACCTCTCATCGGTCGGCGCGACTTCACCCTCAAAAAACGCCCGGCCCCCAACTCACTATTAATGTCGCAGAAACTACCTGCATCTAATGGACAAAATTTTCTGCACAAGCTTGCTGAACCACGGCTACGTTTAGCATCACACGCCTGTAACCTCATCTTCGTAACTGAAGCTTTGTTGTACTCAAGAAGTACCGATGCCGAAGTCGTGAGACATGATATATTCTTTCTCCGAAACAATGGCCCCATTAAAGACGGTATGGTACTTGTATACTACTGCAGTAACCTGTAGTGCGAACCGTTGAACGATCCGGAAACGCTTATCATAGACTCACTTTGGTGTAGTCTGCGACACTCGCCGTCATCGTCCCCTAATCTCCATCCTATTGATGGACTTCCGTCTATTAGCCTTGGAGAGGGTCTTGCGAGGGCGATACAGCCAAGTTCTCAGCTCAGGGGACTTTAATTTGCACGATCAGTATGCTCCGGCATCTAGTAACGAGCAATTCAAGGCCGACTTGCAAGAACTTATTGCAAACCTTCTGCTTTATAGCCGTGTTAGTCCATTTACTCAATTTAGAGCAGGAAATATAC